GGACCTTCCACATCCACAGCCACATCCACATCGACTTTCACCCATTCCATTTTTATTTTCATTTCCAGTGGCGCAACCTACTGCCGAAAATGCCATTTGTGCAAATCTAATAAACAGCGAACCGCATTAAATTTGACAGTAAGGTGTGGGATTTTCAGGGTAGAATGGATATATATATATATGTATATATGTGTGTGTACAGGGAGAATCGTGTCTCTGGGCGAACGTGTCAATCGAGAGGCGAATGCGTCCTGGTGGGCGCCACAATGGCTCAACTTTCATTATAGCATCCGCAAAGAATCTGTGGGTAAAAATCTTTATAGAATATCCCACTTGATACCGTGTTTTAAGAAATTATTTAAACAAATTTTCCATTAAATAATTATTAATATATCTAGAATTCACTTATTACCAGTTTGAGTTTGCAGCTGACATAAATAAAACGTTTATTTCAATTAATCTACTTAATTAAACAGTTTTTACAGTAATGGAAGAATAGAGCTAAAAAATAAAAATAATCAAAAATAGTTGTTAGTTTTTGTATATTAAATTTTAAATTCATATTTATTCTTTATGATTTATTTTTCACACCAAGTTTAAAAACAAACCGACGCCTTTTTAAAGTACCGAATAAATTCTGAAAACTCTAAAATATATTTGCCAAACTGATTTATTTTCATATACTCCTCGAGACTGTCTCATCTTGTGGCATAAATCAAAACTGCCCCATGTCCGGGACTAAAAAGCTGCCAAAGACAGCCGACAGGAGATGGAAAAAAAAGAAAAATATTGTGTGTGTTTGGTTTTTTTTTTCTCTAAAATCCTTCGCTAACTGGCGAATGTATGACACATTTCGCCTTTGGGATTTGCGGCCGAAGGACGCAGCGTTTCGCTTTCGCTTTCGCATTTGCCGTTGGTACACAGAGAGAATTCTGACGTTCTCATCTGAGTTGAAAATGTTCTTAAAAATAGGAATGCTTTTTCTAAATGTGCTTGAATTAAGTTGAATTGATTCTTAAAATCTAGTTGAGCGTAAAATGTTCTTGAAATAAGAACGAATCCTTATTATTTTAGCACATGGTTCCTAAATCAAATCGATTTTTTTCTCAAAAACCACAACATCTCAAAAGGTTCTTAGTTTGAGAACGAAAAGGACTAAAGAAAGAACAAAAATTAAGTTGCATTTCAACTTAAAATGATTCAAAACTCTATTCTCTAATTTTTTTGGATTTCCTAGAACGCGTTAGGATGTTTTCGTTTGACGCCTAGAAGGCACTAGACCATTTTACTTTGCTCCAATACGACTTTACCATTAGATCTGCCCTTTTCGTCTTATATATAATTCCCAACTGGTTCTAGCCCTTCATGAACCGAGCCCAATTCAGATTCTGAGACTTTAAGACTTTTTTTCTGGCTTAAGTCTTTAATGAATTTCCACACTAGCTGGAAGTCAAGTGCAACGCGCACCTTTATAAGGTGTAATGGACAACTACCTTTTTAATATTACTTATAAATTACTGTTATCCTTAGCTAAAATCAAACTCAAAATGCTATAGAATTGAGAGCAAAAAGTGCTGAAAATAGAACAAATGAACTTATATTTGTATCCATTTGATTTAAAAATGTTCTTGAATTAAGAACAAAATCAACTTGAAAATAGAACGAAGTGAACTTGATGTCGGACTTTTAGCTAACACCATTTCGTTCTGATATTGAGAACATTCAACTCGAAATGAGAACATTTGTGCTTACCCGGTTTTTAAGAACGAATGTTCTTGATTTGAGTGCAATGTTCTTGGTTTTTTTTCTCTGTGTATGTAGTTTAGGCCAAATTAACATATCACACAGGCCGCAGCGTCCTTGGTCCTTGGGTCCTCTGCACCTTCTCCGCTTGACTTGCCACTTTGAGATGCGTCCTCATAGCCAGTTGGATGTACGACAAATGCGTCCAAGCCATTAGCTCCAAGGATGCCAGCCATACAAAGTAATTTATGAGTGAGTTTAAAAGTATGCAACAATATATTTTCACTGCATACTTTTAGGCGCGATTTTAACACCCTAGTCATGATACATTTTTTATTCTTTAAATATTTTTCTTACATATCCTACTTTTTATGTTTTTTATGATTAATTATTGTATTTTTTGTTTTATTATTTTTTTTTAATGACATTGTCCTTAATTTCTAAATCCCTTTGGTTAGGCATCAATGCTATTTTCATGACCCGCACTGTATATAGGCCATATAGGCCTAGGCAATGGGCCATTGACTGCCAACCATTTGGATGGCGCTGCAGTCAAGTTTTGTGAGGCTTCGCTTTTCGCTTCCATCTCCTCTTTTTGTCGTCATGGTTCATATCGCGTTTTTGACGCTGTCTCTGAAATATTCTGAATGTCATGCGGGGACCCACAAAAGGTGAACCAATTTTCACGAAATTGTCTGCGAAAAAGCGATGAATCTCGATTGAGTCTTTTGCGGCGAACAAAGCCATTAAGAATTTTAAAGATCTTTCAAAGATTGAGATGTTTTGAATATCTAATGCAAAGTTGACAGCGGTAATTTAAGAACAAAAATTTAAGAACTGTTACTTTGAGTCTGAGGAAAAAAATAATAATTAGATGGGACAATTTGTAAAGCAATTTTGTGATATTCCCCCTGTTCTAAAAATAATCCCCTAATTAATTTGATTGGACCGTAATTAGTATTATTACAGCATTAATGAATTAATATAATTTCGGCATATGAAATTCCTGGAAACTGTAAAGGGATATGCGAATGAGCTCAGATTCCGGGAACACATGCAAGTGCACTCGTATGTGACCATCGTGGCTCAAAAAGATGTGGGAGGTCCATATTACATATATGCACGGCCCACACATTGCATGAAGGTGCAGATATAAGGACGTATATACAAGCCCACGCATTCTGAAATTACATTTTGTTATCTGAAAGCCGAGAGGCGGGACCAAGTTTGCAGTTTGCAGTTTGCAGTTTGCAGCTTCTAATCAATGTCCGAATGTGTGTGGAACTTCTCCACTTGGAAAACTTGTTAAAAAATATATTTAAAAAAAAATGATTTAAAAACAGTGCTATTTTCTTGCGAATTTCTTAACTTGTATTATAAATTTTTTGAACCTATTTAGTATCCTTGAGAGCTTAAAAAAATCACAAAAAAACAACTAATAAGGTTCAGTGCATTTAAGGGGAATTATGTACATGTGCGCTGTGCCCCGACTTTTGGCCAATCAGATTAATGCAAATCGAGATGATTAACTCAATAGTTGTTTTGGAAAGCCAATCCGATTTGGACGCTCGCCGATCCGCCAATCTCACTCAACCCCCATGACTGCTCTTTCCAGTCGTTCCACACCGTTCTCGTCCTTTTTTTGAGAAATGATTCATTGTTCTCGATGAATGCAGGTAATAATTTTTTTCTTTTTTTTTTTTTTTATTTTCCTCTACGGGGCTTTCCTTTCTGCTTTCTGTTTTCATTGCACCAGCAAACCAGCAAAGCAGACCAGACCCCCGCCTGGTCTTTCCTTTCTGATTTGTTTGATTGTTGTTGCTGCAATTGCTGGCGGTACGAGGTACGATACTGCTGCGATACGACTGGCAGACAATAAAGAGCATTTCATTTGAATAATGCGAAAACATTTTGTTAGACGCCCGCTGCCATTGTCTCGCAGCACATAATTTCACCCCCCAAACCATCCCCATACCATCCGAAAACCCCATCCTCTCAGTGCTTTTTAAACTGCTCAACTGACATGCCGATTGCTTTTGTCTGCACACCTATATCTGTCAAACACACCTCCATACACTCGAGTCTCTGATTGCCCCTTGATGGACAGACAGACGGACAAACGGACGAGCGGACAGAAAGTAAATTTGGTCATCGGTAATCGAGGATGGGTCGATACCGTTTCGGAGTCCAGACCCCAGACGATCAGATATCTTAGAAGGATGTGCATTGTACAACATACACTTCATATATTAAAAATTTAGTAATCGTTATTATCGTTTATTTTTTTTTGTTATCGGAAGTTTTTAAAGTCCAGGGTCCAGAGATAACACTTAAAATATAATAATCGTTATTATCGATTGGCGTTTTTGTTATCGATAATTAATATTTTGTTTTAGATTTCCTCACCCATCATATTCAAGCGATTTATGAACAATTAAAAAATTATAACACCTTTTAACATAGTTATCGATTGGCATACATTGCAGGTCCTTTCTGTGTACAACAACAGATGGTCAGCCCAGTGCAGACCAATTTTCCTTGAAACTATTTCAATTGGCTGTGATTACAGAGCAGCACTTTTTGATGGACAGGTCGTAGATGGTTTTTCTAATAATGTGGACTTGATTCTCTTGTTTTGATCCAGTTCGAAGACCTCCTTGTGTGGGGTTTTCTGCTTTTCTGCCTTCTTTCAATGCATTTTGTGGGCCGAACTTTGAGCCCGAACTTTGGTCCGCCTCGCCGGAAAGTATGCCACATTGTCCGTGTCGAGGAGATTATTGCTATTGTCGTATCAATTGGGAGCATTTACATGCGGCACGTTTGGCCGTATGTTTTTGTGTTTCTGAATAAATCACAGCCCATATGGACATGTTCGTATGAATAATTTGTCGAACTGTATTGCTTTTGGGGCGCAAAAGCCCCCAGCAGGGCTCCTCGTAATTGCTTTATAAAAAGCATGTTTTTGGGTCACCAAAAATTGCACCACAATCGATTAGATTAGTAAACAAATCAATAAGCATTTCCTCGACCGATTAGCTGCCGATTTTGGCCCTCTAATTGCCGTTTGTCATTAATTGAGATGCTATTTACCAGTTAAGTGGCGTTTAATTGTGTTTAGGGCTCGGCAAACAGGTGGCTAATATGGCAAAATGCTTGTTTGACAGTCAGTTTAAATATTTCAGATAATCAAGATATCGTAAAAAACTAAGATTCTTATAAATTAACAACTTTAAATTCATTTAGGAATTTATTTTCATATAATTTTTAATATGCCAATAATGGTTTAATAAAAATAAAGGAACATTTTTATGTTCTGATGTTTGTTGGAAAAGAACACCCTATTAAACACCCTTTTCCAGGGTATCTCGCATGGCCCTGAGCATTTCGGGCAGCAGTCCCACATGACTGTCCACGCAATTGCTGGAGCACCTTTCCTCCAGATGGCAATCGGCGGATCCACGGCACTGCTGGATGCACTTCTCCAGGCGATTCTCGAACTCGGAGATGCCCTGCTGCACAAAGCAGCGGGCTCGGGTCAAAGGCAGCTGGCAGCGGTCCACGCACCGCTCCACCGCCTCCGCATTCGCATCCGCATCCGCACAGCAGGCGGTCGCACAGGCGTGCATCTCGATCTGCAACTTCCGCAGATATTCCCGATCCAGATCCTCCATGGCGGTCACGATCACATTATCCACACGCTCGCGCTGCTCCTCCAAACTCGGTTGATCGCAGTCCATTTTCTTTTGGTTTTTCAATATCATATAATGTAGTATGGATGGTATATTTTGGTTTTGTTTGAAAAATTTATTGTTTCTGCTTGAGTTTTCTTAGAGGAAACTAACAAGGCCAATGTGATTTACTTTTTCTTAAAAATATCCTAGAATTATTAAGAATTAAGTTTTTTTTTTAAATTTGAAAAGTCTATCAAAATCAAAACAATAATGAAAAAACGTAGTTAAACTCTGCTAAATTGTAAATATTTAAAGTAATTGAACTGTTTTCTAAACTCAATTCTTTTCATAATGATATTTTATATTTCGAATATATATTTCCTTATACAGCGTATTTTTCTTCTTTGTTGTTATTAGAATATACAGGAAATTACAATTCTTATTAAGTTAGGTCATGTTATGGTTTTTCTTAAGGAAATATTTTAAGTACAGACAATGCCTAGGCATAAATTAGTTTCAAGCTATCTCTTAATTGGATTTTTGCTTAATTGGTGTTCGCTAATAACGCAGGTCTGAAAAGTGTATATAAACTGAAGTTGGTTCACCAGTCGCTTTAACAGTTTTCAAAATGCACTTGCAAGTCTTGGGATTGCTGCTTTGTTTAACAGCCTTCGGATCTTCGGCCTTCGATCGTGAGTCGCTCAGTAAGCGATCCTATGATCTTATAAATGAGAAGCGTTCCGTACAGCTGAAAGAGAATCCTGTATTTATGGATCGCCTGCTGTTTTCCCAGACGTCCTTCAACGATCTAATGAGATATTCCCGAGCCAGTTTAACTCAACCTTTTACACCATTTGAAAAGCGTGTGATACGCTTATTACGTAAATTGGGATTATTGAAAAGCGAAGCTGAAAAATTTCTGGATGAACTGGAAAACGATAAGGAACTATTAGAAAAATTGAAAAAGTTACTCGATGAGGTGGACAGGGAACATGAGTCCGATGACTTCCTTGATGACTTTTACGAACTATTTTTTTCGAAAAATAAGCAATAGATTTTGTGTTATTATTAAGAAACCGTCTTAAACATATGTAAATATATTTTCCTAATTCCTTTAATTTAGATCTAAATAATAATTTTGCCTAATATGATGTCAAATATGCATATCGATAACAAGACCGATTATACCGATAACATGTTAATGAATAAGCCCTGAGAATGTCATAAAACGATTTATTTAAGTTGATAGATATGGCAAACAATCTGATTAATGATTAACAATGGCATGACCATAATCGCTTGGATTATCCCCCCACTTCCGCCCCTTCAACCATATACCGATAATTATCGATAGATAGTTTGGGCAACTTAAAACACCAAACAAATGATTGCCATAAATTTGATGGCAACAAACAACGACAACAATCGGTAGCGCCCGATTTTCTCTGCATTTCTCCGCTCAGCTTTCTCCGCTCCTCTCTCCACTGAGTAATGTGCCAACTGTTGAGTTTCCTTCCGCTTCCGAATGCGAGAGCGAGCGAAAGGGGAAGAGAGAGAGAGAGAGAGACAGAGACAGAGATGGGGTAAATGGGAGCGTGGGTGGCGGCGAAAGTGAGGGAGGGAGTGAGAGCGATACGGCCTTTTAGCCACTCGCCTGCTCTCTCTCTCTTTGCCTCTCTCCCCATCTCTCTCTCTCGCCGGCATCGAGGGCTGCTTACAGGTGTTTATAGCACTTCGGGATTTCCCGAAAACTGCCGAAACGCCGGCCGAGTCCTGCCATCTCGCTCGCTCCCCCCGAAAGCCGCCATAGCGCCTTCTCGCTCCCGGTCGCTTTATATTCCTTGAAACGCGTCGCCTTCGCATCAGTTTCATTTGAACGGTCGACGAGGCGTGTTGTGCTAGAAAAAATACCTCATATAAATAGCAGAACAGCCCCCAAACAGGCCAAACATTTCAAACAAAAATACAATACAAAACTCTCTGGAACTCAAGTTCTTCAACTCAACATCGCCCAAAACAAAAACATCTCATACCAAAGAAAATTAAAAACAAAAACTCACAATATAAATATATAGATTAACTCTTTTTTTGATTGTGCTTCTAAGTGTTGTGCTAAAACTATATTAACTTGTATAAATATTCAAAGATATTCAAAAGTATTTAACTTATATTTTCAAAATATCCACCTAAATGCTAAGAAAACAAACTCATAACTAACGGAAAGTTAAAAGGACAAAAAACATAACAGACAGTTTTAAGACCAAGTACATTTCGAATTTGTCGTGCTTTTTGAATCCTAACTGTTGACGCGTAAAACGCACAAAAATGTGCACGAAATTCTCACTAGACTCGAACGACTGAAAAGTGCGTTCCATTGAAAATAAAAACAAAAACTGAATGCGAACCGGTAAATATAAAATTACTTATTCAAATTCATTGAAAAATTTCCTAGGAAAAATTGTTGATTAATTTCGTGATTTAATGTGTGAGAGTTTTATGGTCTTGTGCGTGTGAGTTGCGGTTTTTGGAAAATGATTTAAAATAGTCTTCAGTGGGGGATTCCCATGATTTCTTTTGATTTTATTTCTGTCAGATTTGAAATTAAATATGTTAAAGAAAAAGATTTTCCAAAATTTTCCAGAATGTTATGAATATTCTTTTTTTTCTGATTATATTATTTTTTCTGTTTTTATTATAATTGAGTTTACTGGATTAGAATAAAAATGGAAATTTATTTACTTAGCATTCTTGAATATTTTAGTTTTAAATTGCATTAAATTTGTTTAAGCTTTTTAATTATTAAAAATCCAGATCCGGATTAAATATTGTAATTTGATAATTTCCAAAAAATACTACAAATAATGTTTAGAACTCCCTTGAAGTAACATTAAATTTTTTCAGTATTTATATACATTTTAAATGAAATTCTTGCCATGTTCTGGTGCTTGGTATTCCATTACAAATAAATTGAATTACCCACATTTTCATTGTCTCGCTGCCAATGAGTTTGATTTAATGAAAATTTGTCTACCATTTTCGGGGGCACAATTGCAATTCTCTTTGTGATCGTGAAACAAACTCGTTACGCATACGCCGCGTGTGCAATTGTATTAAACGATGCCATTGAAAATTGGCAAAGCTGGCCACAAAGAGCGGTCTGGGCTTGGGTTTGGGCTTAGGCCACTCCGGTTTTGGATTTGGGCCCTTGTCGGCCAGCCTCGTTAACCGAACTTGTTGCCGGATTCGCATTCGCATCCGGACACGCATCCCTCGCATCCTTTGCATCCTTCGTACGTGTCCTTTCGCTAATCGCTGCGTTTAAGCAACTGCATGTTGGAGGATGTTGCAGCGCTTGTATTGGCGCGTGACCGGCTTTTCACTGGCATAAGAACGCGAGGTGGCGAAAATGGCGGAAAAGCGGTACGGTGTGCGGTCGGCAATCTTTGATTTTCCATTTCCCCGCCAACAGGAAAACGCCAGACAACTCGGCGTATACGTGGCATTCCTGTTTGCGCTTCCTTACTTTTGTGGTCCTCGCGTTTGTGTTTAATGGACAGCAGAACATGGAAAACAGGACTTGCGCGTGCCTTGAATAATCGCAAATTCAATGTAAAATATTAGAAAAATGTAATATTTAAAAAATATTTTATTGTTTATAATTTTCATAAATAATTTAAATTTACAATTTAAAAGTCTAGATTTTTTAAATCACTTTTAAATGTTAAAAAATGTGTCTAAAAGTAACGAAAAATCTTCCTTTAGAGCTAAACCTAAAATTTTATACAACATTTTTTCAGAATATCTGAGTGCACCCATTGTACGCATTAAAAATGTTTGGCATTTGTTTGCATCTCAAATAAAGACACTTTTTTCCCATTTCTCGGGCTTACATATAAAACATGTGATGTTTCAATTGTTGATCCATTTTTTGTTCTTTGCTTCACTTCACATAAAATATTCAATTTTCATTTCTTGTCGGTTGCTGTTTTTTTTGTTTTTTGTTTTGTGTGCCAGGGGTTCGCATATAAAATTCAATAAAAATACACATAAAAATTGAGGGAAAAAAAAAAAAAAGGGAATGGCTGAAAGATCCCGCGGGCTATTTGACAGCGATGAGGGGCAAACACACGTATGCATCGCATTTTGATTGCAGATTGTGTTTCCATGGAATATGGAATGGAAACAACGGGCTTGCCAAAAATCTGTGTTAATTAATAGAAATTGCCATTTGAATTTTTTTTTCTTTTTTGGAAAGGTGTATTTAAATGGAATTGCATTGCGTCGGTAATTTATTCGCATTCGCCTCTTTCCCTCTACATCAATCATGGCTCAGTGTGGCAGCTACGGTGAGAGGGAGGTATTGATAACATGGCTTTGTCTGCGGCATTTGGCTAAATAAATATTATGATGGAAAATATCACAATGCTAGAGCGATGGTATGCGGCATACCTACCCTACCTGATGGCATTTTAAGTGGAAAACAATGTTGCCGCCTGGATCTGAATGCATTGTTATCGTGCTACGCTTGATACCATTTTATATAGATCCATGGGGATTTCTTCGAGTGCGGCGCTATCAATCAAATCTTCGGAAACTTAATCTCTTTGTAAAATAAAATGATTCAATTATCCTTTATTTAAGTTAAACATTTTTATAATTATTCTGATGAAGATTTTCTAACGAACATTTTTCTAAAAGAAATCTTTTACAATGTTAAATAAAATTATTTTTCTAATCATAAAAAACCTCGATAGTTATAAATTTTTTTCTCATATAAGAAAGCTGAATATTAATTTATTTAAAGGTTCTCTAAATTTATAAACTATTATAATTTTAAATGAAATTTTTTTTATAGTCATAAATGTTCCTTTTTATTTTAAAAGTGAAAACCGAGTTCGAACCAAAAATGTGATAAACTGGAATTTAAATGCGATGCCACTTTATCCCTATTTTGTTTTCCCTCGCATCTCAACTTTAACCCATTGTTGGTTTTTTTTTGAGTTTGAGTCGGGGAAAATGGGCGTGTGGATTCAATGTTGAAGTGTTGGCATTGCAGGTGGAAAATCAAGGGGCTTTTCGTTTGCGTTTGGGGCAAGAGTTAAGTGATTGCTGCTTCTGTGTTTTAGCCGGCTGAGCTTTTAGCCTGTCAGGGAGTTGAGTCTCGGGCCAATTGGGTGTTTTTCGTTTTTGTTTTTTTTTTTGTTTATCCATTGTTGGTCTTCTGCTTCAAACGGGACAAACAGACAGTCAGACATTCAGACAGTCAGAGAGAACTGACAGTTGGTAGGTGGGTAAACATTCGGTAGCCCCAAAATTCGGCTGGCTATTTATGTTCTTGTCAAAGCGGCACACATGGCGTATGCTCGATACGTATGCGCAACATTAAAGCCAAGTTATGAGCCTTTAACAGGCCATGGCAACAGCATTAATGGCAATAGCAACAGCGACAGCAACGACCAAAGGATCGAATCGATGTGAAAGGGGGCCAAAGTAACCAACCAAGTCGCCTCGAACGTAGCAACCGTCGTTCGTAATAACTAACGTAGTTTGCCTAAGCAATTTGGCACTTGTGCGCTTTATGGCGCCCACTGCAGCACCAGCACTGCACAGTGGTTTGAAATCGATCCAAAAACCAAAAATTAAGAAAAAGTAAAAAAAAAGGGAAAAAGCATGTAATCGATTATTTATTTTAGTATTGTATTGTATCGCCTATTTAGTAATTATTTGAGTATTTTTTTGTAGCTTCCTAGAACGACTAGACTGACCAAATATTATTTTTATTTTTATTAAAAAAAAAATTATATTTAAATTTGTATCATTTGTGAATCAAAATATTTTTAAAGATTTGTATTAATATAATAATAAAGAAGTGGTACATTTCATGCTATTCAGCACTCACTGTTCATCCGCTAAGCAGCAGGTAAAGAAGAGACATCTACAAAAGGGCCAGGAAACCCCTCAAGGAGGTGGAGTTTCTATGAGAGGAGGAGGGGGAGGAGGTGGAGGCGGAGGAGCTGGAGATATCCTGGGGAACCAGGACGACATGGCACATGTGCTTAACTGCCGACGTGGGGGTGACGTCTGATATATTTGCATGCAAAAGTGTTGTCACTGTTGTTGTCGCCGCTCCTGCCGCCTGCTGCCTGCCAATGATAAATGCAAATAGGTGCAGACATATAGGGGCTATGGGAAAATCAAACGAAGGATAGGATAGGATATATATATATTACGCATACGCCATGTGTTAGCTGCAGGAACGCTCGAATCTCGAATCGCGAATCTCGACTGCAATCTGCAATTGATTGAGTGAATGGAGTAATCGGCGGTCCTCAAACGATTGCCAAACATTGTTAAAAGTGTAAACATTTATTTGCGATCCAACTAAATAAACGAAATGAACGAAACGAGTCCAATGGGAGAAAGGTGCTTAATTTCCCCCTCGACAGCTGTCAACGCTTTTGGTTCGGTTTCGTTTTGGTTTGCAGACAAACAAAAGCCACAAAACACACAGAAATTTGACAAACTGCAGTGGCTAAAAGCAACTGAAAGCCACAAAAAAAAACAGAAGAAAAATAAAATAAAGGACCACCTTCTACCCCATTTTATTGTTATTGTTATTTACACTGGAGTCATTGACACGCGCCGCGCTTTCGCCCCTTTGCCGTTGTTCTTTTTGTGGTTTTCTGACCCAAGAAAATGGGTGGTAAAATGGTAAAGCGGGTGGCAAAGTCCGAACTAATAAAGCCAACTATTCGGGGCTTTTATTTGCACATTTGTGTGTAGTCGATGGAGCCACTGCGGTTCACAGGGAGCTCAACACAAAGGGTTATTCAAATTGATGTATAGATTTTTAATAAAGCCCCAAAAAAAGTTAAGAAACGAGTTTGGGAAATAGTTCTTAGAAATACAAATGTTTTATTAAAATAGAATTAAATTTTATACAAATTATTTTAATAAATAATAATTAAGGAAATAAAAAGGTTTTTTAGCTTGATTTACTATCAAAGTGTTAAATGTTAATGTTATAAAAGCAAGAAAATTTCAGCTTTTAACATCTTAAAGGCTTTTTTCTTGTTCTTTCTTTATTGTTACCATAGGCAAAAGATTTTCACGCATGAAAATCCAAATGAAAACGGCGTAAACAAATGATGGATCGACCATTCAAGTGAAAGCGAGGGGAAGGGGGCGAGAATATCTTTGTGTTATTCGGAAAAGTTAGAAGGTAAATGGAAGCATCTGTATCTTCGATGTCAGACGAAACAAACGAAACGAAAATGCGAAAATATGCTGGGATTTTTGCATATTTTCATCAAAGCAATTTATATGCACATGTGTCCATGTCTTTGGCTCTTTGTCGTCGTGCACAGGGGTCTTAATTGCATGGCCATGCTCACACGTCCACACCCG